GAATACACATTACTGCAAAAGAGAAAAAGATTTTCTGAAAAAGAAAGAAAGAACATATCTGCTGAAAATCAACTTTTGGAAAAAGAAGTGTGCAAGATCAATTCAAGAAGATGAAGTTCATATAGAAAATTCATTCTAAACTGGTTTACGTTGTTGAAGATCATATCTACACGAACAGGTGTACTCGTTTCTGATCTTTTGTTATTGTTTGAATGGTTTTAACTCTTGAGATTAGAGAATCTCTGGAAGAGTTGTGTAAAGAGAAATCTTGAGATAGGTTTTTCTCAAGTAGGATATTGTGGGATCAATATTCTTGGGTTATATGTTTCTTGTGGAGTCAAGAAATGGTTTGTTAATCTTGTGGGTGTCAAGATTTGCTTGTTAAATTCATTGATTGGATATTGCTTGTGCAGGGTGCATGTAAAGAATATCAATAGTGGATTTGACTGGATTTAGAGGTGTATCTAAATCTGAAACTGGATGTAGGCCTTTGGATGGCTGAACCAGTATATATCTTGGTGCATGATTTTCTTAACTCTTACACTCTTTACATTCTGTATAAGTTTCTTGATTAATGTTGTATGAAGAAAAACATTATCTGCAGAAACTGAACTTTAAAGATTCTTGGTAATTGATAAATTCAATCTTTACATATCTTGTATTAATTGTGTTATTCAAATCTTGTTGGATAAGCTGTGCATATATAACTCTGAATTACTTTTTATGTTTAAAGGTTTGTTTTAAATCAAGATTTGTTTGGTAAAGATTTAGAAAGCAAAGAAGAAAAGGAAAAATAACATAGAATCTATTCAACCCCCCCTTCTAGATTCTAACCGTAGGGACCAACAAATTTGTCCTTGTTCTTGGGAAAATTCTTCACATAACATAAGCAACCAAAATTTCTTATATAGGCATAGCTTGCCAATTTTTCAAAAAGTAATTCATAAGGGGTTAGTCCCTTGTTGGAAATGGTAGAGATTTGATTAATGAGATGAGTTGCAGCCAAAACACACTCTCCCAAAAATGTAAGGGAAGATTGACTTGAAAATGTAGAGCCCTTGCCACATTGAGGATGTGCCTATGCTTACGTTTTACACGCCCATTTTGTTAAGATGTAGCTACACAAGATGTTTCATGAATGATTCCTTCTTTTAGAATAAATTTTTGGAAGGGATAGTTGGTGAACTCTCCTACAACCTCATAAGTCATCTATGAGTTAAGTTCTATCTTCCCCTACCTCAAAATTGAAGAGAGCAAGGAAGAAGAAAAAGAAGAACAACTTTAAGTAACTCTGTAACAATGCACCAACACTTCGAATCTTCAACCTAACTGGTTGGGATCTGTACTCAACTGCTCACGAAATGTCTAAGGAAGGAATCAAATGTCTGTTGTGGAATCATAAGGAAATCAAATTTATGGTTCCAAAACTCCTCTCACAAGTTTATATCTCTAAGATTTTCAAAAAAATAAACTTATGATACTTGAGCCTTAAGAAAATCTTATATACACTTTCCTTAAGGTTAAACTAGACCTTTACTCAAAGAAATTCCTAAACCATTTAAAACTCACAAGAATTTCTCAATTCTGAGGGTTTTTCAACAATTAATCCCAAGAATCACCATAACATAATTATTGAGAAAATAAAAAATAATTAACAAAAATATACAATGTTACATATTTAAATTTATTTTTTTATGCTAATTTGCACAAAAATAAAATAATTTAAAGTAATAAAAAAATTATAATATATATATATATATATATATATATATATTCAATAATAATAAAAAGTGCATAGATATTCAAATCTATGGTTATAAAAGTAGTTAAAAGCTAGTAAGAAGATAAAAAAAAAACTAACTAGAAGTTAGAAAAGGAAAAACAATATAAATATTTGATAAAGTTATATATGGAAGCAACTGATGAATATTTTAGAGTATTTGAAATTTTAGTTTTTATTCAATTTTATTTGATAAAAAATATTTTGGGGTGTTTATAATTTTAGTCCTTAGCTAATTTTAAACTCTTGTAATTTTTTATTTATTTATAATTTTTATCAATTGTTTTAATTTAATTTCGAGCTTTCAGTGTTATATTTTTACATATTATGTTTTCTCCTTTTAATCATATGCTATATATCTTAAATTATTTTGAATGAAGATTAAAATAAAGTAAACATAACATATATGTGTAGACAAATAACATGTGTGACCATTAAATCTCATTTTAAAATAAACACAAATAATTATTTAGAATTTAAAATATGGGTGGGACACGTGCTTAGCAATGATCCTAAAGTAACGGCGTGAACTCTTTTTAGGTTTCCATCATGACTAACATAACATGGGAGGCACTGCAAAAGAATAACACTGTTACCAATTACCATCTTATCTTTTTCGCCATTTTTGATCTTCTTCCAGATTCCAATTAGAATTAGCCATTGGTGGACACTCCACTGCGCAATGCTGCTACTGCATCAATTCATTATCCACTCATTTTCTTTCTTACTCATCCAATATGCCAATATATATATATATAT